TTAAGCAACTAAGCAAAAAGTTAAGCAATTAAGCAAAAAACAACACAAAGGAGTATTAAAAAACTATTTTTGTTTAAAATAGCCACCTTTTGATGAAATGACCGATTTCAGATATTTAGATATTTTGCTCACAAGTTGCAATATGCTCTTATAAAGTTTATACAAATGAAAATTTATTAACTGCTTAACCTGAACTGAGTTGATACATTGACAGGATCAATGGAAAGTCAGTGTGTTAGGCAGCCTGATAGCCTGGGGATAATGCAGAATTCCTAATTGATTTTAAAATTCCAAAACATTTAAAAAATCATAGTAAAAAAAAGAAGCCTTATTGGTTCAGATTTGAGGTGTTATGTAGTACACAAGACAAAAAAATAAAGTTGATTGAGAACAATCTTTTTTTTTTATGTGAAATAAAGAGTTGTTATTGACGACAAAATTTTTATTTTTTAATTGACGTCAGTCTCTAGTTCAGATTTTTCATTACATTATCTATATATATTTTTTTAAATTAACTTTTACTATTCAAAATCTGTTTATTTTCATTTTTACTGCTAGGAAAGTTACTAAAATTTTTGCATAGTAATAAATAACATACTTAAAATTAAATTTATTAACATTTTTTAATTAAGAGAATCAAAAATACTGTCACTAAACTAAATTTGCTGGTAAAATACACTGAAAATAACACCATCAAAAAGTTCAAAAATAAAACTTGCAATGAAACATTTATGTTTTATTCGCATAAAACATTAAAGAGGATAATTATATTTACATAAATTTTTATAACTTTTTTAAATTTTATTTACAAAAGCAAAAGTTTAATTTACAAACACAACTTTACAAATACAAAAATTATTATTTTTTCAACTTACAATAACAAAATTTGCTATTTAAACTTGCTGCTTAAATTTACTTGCCGCCCTCATTCATTCACCGCCCTCATTCATTCACCACCCTCATGCGGTGAATAAATCTCATTCTTCCTCTTAATTACTTTTGTTGCTTGTTTAAATTTGTTCTAAAATACCATATTGCACCAGTTCTTTTAACTAACATTTTATTTTACCTATATTGGTAAGCCAAGCAAATTGCTTATCTAAAAACTATTGATCTATCAATTTAAATTAGTTTTTTTTTACTTATGGCTGACAATATTTTAAAGCCTTAAATATCAGACAATATTTTTAAGCCTTAAATATCATGTTTAATGCAATTTTTAAAACACTATAAAATTTATGCATAGAAATTTATTTAATGATAAAATTATAATAGAAAATTAGATGAACAAAAATAGGAATATCTATGTAAAAAAGTCAAAAATATATTTAGGTAATTTAAAACCTAAATTTTTAGTATTTATAAACTTGAGTATTTTAAAACTTTCCCATGGAGTTTTTATTGACAGTCCTCAATTAAAAAGTTGCTTCAGCTATTTTTAAAGTTAAAAGTGGATTGTGAACCGAATTGTTTAAAAGTTAAAAAAGGGTTCGTGTTGAAAAAACTTCTTTAAAAGAATAATAAAATAATTATGTAAAAAGATTTTCAGTAATTGAATGAAAAGATTAGTTTTCATCAAAAAACTAATTTAAAAAAAAAATGTTTCTTTTGAGACAGGTTATTGTACAAACTTTTTTATTTGGATAATATTAGAGATTTTACACTAATTATTCAAGATTTAAATAATTTTTGAAGCTGACGTGATAGAAGATAAAAGATTACCAATTTTGAGTAAAAATTTGTTATTACATTGATATCAATTTTCTGTTATAACATAATTTAAACCATCAGTTTACGAGTCGCAGAGACTGCAGACTCACTGATACTAGAGCCAACCCATTCAGTGTGATAAGCATTCACAAGTCACCTACAACAACAATATTGGCTAAAGGATAAAGAGAAAAAATCAACTTTGTCAGAAATAACATCAAAGGGTGCAGTCTATAGATGAAGGAGAACGATATATAACAAAGAGAAAGGCAATAGAGTAAAGTGGTCCTGATATGTATATAAGATTAAATTAATACCAATTTTGAATAAAAATTTGTTATTACATTAATACCAATTTTCTGTCATAATATAATTTAAACCATCGGTTTATGATTCACAGAGACTGTAGAGTCACTGACACTAGAGCCAAGATACAGTTTAATATCATAAACTGTCAAAAAAGTTTTCATGAAAATTTAATACTATTAAGCGTATTATTATTTTTTTACATTTATAATATAAAATGAAAATAAATACAAAAGAAGACAATATATGAATCGCTAACTTAAAAAAGGGGACATGTCCTGCAAAACTTGCCTGTTTTAAAAACAGTGCTAAAAAATTTAAATTATTTTAAATAGAAAATTAAAAATGAACTAAGCATAAACTGTAAAAAGAAACAAACTTAACAAATGATAAAATAAATAAAGGATATACTAGAGAAAATAAAAACAGAAAATAATATATTTTTTAATTTAAAAGTCTCATATAATAGTTTAAACTTAGTTAATTTAATTTAAAAAGAATAACCTTCTCCAGAAGTTAGGGATAACAGTATTATCTCTAAATTCTGGAGAGTGATCTGATTTATCTAACTACCGTCCCATTAGTCTTCTTTTTATCATAGGGTTTTTGGTTTTTGAGTCTTTAATTTATTAAACTTTAGGTTTTTGAGTCTTTAATTTATTAAACTAACAAACACTTTATCTCTCATTTTGAATCTAATAACATACTTTCTGATAATCAATATGGATTTTGATCTTCTCGTTCTACTGCTGATTTGCTAACGGTAATGACTGATAGGTTTTATTGTGCATTAGATAGGTGTGAAAAGGTTAAAGTTATCTCTCTCAACATTTCTAAAGCCTTTGATAAAGATTGGCATAATGGTTTTCTCCATAAGCTCTCTTCTTATGGTGTGTAAGGTAACATCTTTAAGGTTATTGAATCTTTTTTTACCAATTGCAATATAAAAGTTGTCCTCAATGGACAGCACTCTTCATATCCTGTAACTTTAGGGGTTTCTTGAGGTTCTATCCTTGGCCTTATACTCTTTTTAATTTACATTATTCATCTCTCAGAAGTTCGCAGACTTAAGGTGGCATTGTTCGCTGATGATACTACCATTTATTCTTGTCTTGATAAGAAGCCAACTCTCTGATTGCTTGGAGGGGACATTTGAGCTTGAATTTCACTTCTGCTACAGCATGGTGCTCTCAGTGGCTGGTGAACTTTAATTCAGATTAAACTAAATTTTTTTAGCTAATTGTTATTGCAACAATCTAGATTTTCCTATAATTGTGAATGGTAATGTACTTGATGAGTTATCTACCCTTTGTCTTTTAAAATTAACTCTTACTTCCTATCTTTCTTGGAAACCATATATCAAATTCATTGCAAAATAAGTATCTACTAAGGTTGTATCTCTTTATTGTGCTTGCCTCTTTCTTACTCGGAATTCTATTCTTTATCTCTATAAATCTTAAATTTCTCCTTGCATGAAACTCTATCTGAAGCTGATCTTTGAATGATGCACTTTCTCTTTTAGATAAGGTGCAAAAAGCCATTGTAAGAATAGTTGGACCTGCTCTTGCAGCCAACCTTCAACCATTGTCACATAATTGTAATGTTGCTTCTCTTTCTCTTTTCTATAAATAATATAATGAATGCTGCTTTAAAGAGCTAGGGTCTCTAGTGGCATCTACTATTTTTGTATCGCTTTGTTGTGGTTCCGCTTTGTTTTTGTTCTGCTTTGTTTTTACTCTTTAAATTTTTCACTTTTAAGTTATGCTTAAGCTACCTTGCATTTTGTTTTATCTTATGTCAGAGATGAGCAAAAAGTCAAACTAAATTTTTTTTTTTAAAAAAACTAAAAATAAGCAAAAGCAAATTATTAAAAAGATTGATTATATAACATTTTAATTGTATAATATTTTAATTGTATTTTTTTCTTTTTTTATCCTTAAAGTTTTTTTAATTTTCAAAAAGTTTTCATTTTTGCATTTAATGTAAAAATGTGTGCTTTAATTTTTCAGTAAAAAAAGAAAGAATTGAAAAATAATGAAAGAAAAGAAAGCTGGCTTATGCCAAACCCTTAGTCGATATAGCAGCGCTCCTTTGCTGCAGCAGGCTCTAAGAGAGTTGATGTATGTACTAAGGCCCCTGCAGCTTCCTATTTTTGTATGATTGTCATCTGTGTTTGTCTAATGCTGCATTTACATATGCATATATATATATATATATATATATATATATATATATATATATATATATATATATATATATATATATATATATATATATATATATATATATATATATATATATATATATATATATATATATATATATATATATATATATACAAATAGTATTGCGTACTAAGGTAAGCAATCTGATGTCATACTGAAATAGCCTTCTGCCAGGGGCTTCAGTACATACATTGACTGACAAATAGCCTGACTCGCAGTGGAGTGTTGCTACATAGCCTAAGGGTTTTGGGATGGGGCAGCAACCTTTTCATTCATTATTCTTTGTATTCTTCTTCTTTTTCTAAAAAAGCCGTATGGATTAAGATGAGCCAAAAAAGCAAATGTGCAAATGCTTATAAAAATATGCTATAGTAAGTGTATATATATATATATATATATATATATATATATATATATATATATATATATATATATATATATATATATATATATATATATCTGTGTGTGTGTGTGTGTGTGTGTGTGTGTGTGTGTGTGTGTGTGTGATTGTTGTATTTGTTAAAATATATTTTATCTGATATTTTTTTTTAAATATATTTTATCTGATATATTTATTAAAATATATTTTATCTGATATATTTTTTAAATATATTTTATCTGATATATTTATTAAAATATATTTTATCTGATAAATTTATTAAAATATATTTTATCTGATATATTTGTTAAAATATGTTTTATCTGGTATATTTGTTATAATATATTTTATCATTTTTTTCTTGATACTAAAATTTTTAGGGAGAAGCTGTAGCACCCAGCATAGAGCCTTTAAGTTATATATCCCAAGAAATATCGCAACAACAACAATTCATATACTCATCAGCACAGAATCAGATCTCTGGTCTTCCTCGTGGTATTTTACCAAGTATTACGAACAATTCTGTCATGAAAACTGCTGATGCAGGAGCAGCTTTTGTTCCATTTGGTAAACGCCCCCTAGAATTTGTTACTTGTTACAAGGTAGGCCTTTTTTCAGTTATATTTTTTCTATATCATTTTTCTAAGAAAAATAAAAATGATTTTCTATAGTCAAAATCAATTATATATTACAAGCCCTTTTAGGAGACATGAGGTTGTCTGATTTATATGACTACGCATTCAATATTATTTTTTTACAATTTCGGTTTTCTCTTTAAAATTTTTTTTTTTTTTTTCTAAATGGCGCCTAAAAATTTAAATTATTTTAAATAGAAAATTAAATATTAACTAATCATAAACTGAAAAAAGAAACAAACTTAACAAATGATAAAATAAGTAAAGGATAAACTAGAGAAAATAAAAATATAAACTGATATATTGTTTAATTTAGATGCGTATCAAATAATAGCTCAAACTTAATTTAATTTATAAGCGTTTCAATTAATAATTTAAATTTTTACATATTTTCCTATTTTGCCACATAAGTGTAGTGCTCTAAGTTGATTAATTATGTCATTTATAAGATGCAACACAAGTTATATTGGCATTGGAAGAGGGTTCAAATCCTACTAATGGATTTTTTTATTTTTTTTTTATTTTTTTTTTTTGCTATTTAGACATTAGAAAATATCTATAATCTATAATATATAGATTTTTTCTAAATTCTTTGTAGTTAAACACTTTTTTCTGGTTTATTTTTTATTTGTTTTATCATTTGTTAAGATTTTTGTTTTTTTAGTTTAGTTTTGTATATTTTTTTTTAGTTTTCTCTTTTCAGTTTATATTGGTTTATTTGTAATTTTTTTTTTTTTTTATGTTTACATTAATTTATTCAGCGCATTTTTTAAACGAGCTGAAAACATGCAAGAAGACATTATATGCTTGGTCATACAAGGTGTGCAGTCGCATGCGTCTTCTGAGAAGACTTTATATTTTAATTCACCTACCCCAAAGCCGGAAAGGCCACTACAGTCAAGGAGGCTACTTTAGTTGTGGTTCAAAACTCCAAAACACAAATCTTGACAAACAAAGCCACTGCGCAAAGAAACAAGTTGAGCGCGGTACTACCACGAATGTGGTGGGGATCAAATGCAGAATCATCAGTTGCTTCTTTAAGTGGAATTGACGGGTATAAGTTTATAACGTCTAATGATATCTAAATTTCGTCACTGGATATGTCCCATGATTTTGGTTTTTCTAAAAATTATTGCGAATTTTTTAATCGAGTTGGGTTTTCATTTAATATTGGTTGTATTAGTTTTACTAAGTAATTTGAGATTCCGTAGTTTGGTGTGTCTATTGTAGATACTACAATTTGCATTGGATAAGATTTTTCAGGTTTATGTGCCTTCACAACACCATACATACGAGGTGGTATTGGGTCACTGGGATAAATTTGCTGATATTCATCTTTTGTGAACCGACCTTTTTTATTTAATTTCGATAGTTGGACTTTGATTTTCATTGCGTAACTTTGTGTCGGATCTTCATTGATTATTTTAGTTAGTCCAATTTGTTCTCGAATCTTTTTTTTGCTTTATCATGAGGGATTGTTACAAAGCCTATTCCTTTATCAAATGGGTATATATCAATATTGTTATCTTTTTTTAGTGTTGTGTAAGTGCTTTTCGTTGTTGACGAGTCAGGTTGTCATTTTTATTATTTTTGTTTAGTTTTAATTCTCTCAAAACTTCTCTCCTCAGAGTTTGTGCAGCTTCATCTTTTTTTGTTGTACTCAAGCTTTTAAGCTGAAGACGCTGGTCACAACAACCCAGCGAAAATTTCTTTTAAAAAATAAAAAATAAATTTAGTATTGAGAGAAAATCGTATTTATTGATGTTTATAAAATAATTATATATATATATATATATATATATATATATATATATATATATATATATATATATATATATATATATTCATATTCATATACATATGCATATACATATACATACACATACACATATACATATACATATACATATACATATATATATATGTATATATATATATATATATATATATATATATATATATATATATATATATATATATATATATATATATATATATATATATATATATATACATACATATATATACATATACATATATATATATATATATATATATATATATATATATATATATATATATATATATATATATATATATATATATATATATATATATATATATATATATATATATATATAGATAGATAGATAGATAGATAGATAATTGATAGATAGATAAATAGATAGATAGATAGACATATATATACATACATATATATAGACATATAGACATATATATATCGACATGCATGACTGGGAAAATTGCCATAATGCAAAATATTTTAAGACATAACTCCAAGAAAATGCAGTAATGTTCTTGACCCGTAGCCAAGAAATTCACCTATTTTATGCATCATCAAGAATTGTTGGGTAAATTTGAAAGCAAAAGTTTCTAAGTATAGAGTCCGGCCTCACTAGCAGGTCTGAGAAAAGCCATATTGAAAGTGTAGAATCATAAAATTATGCACAAATATTATGAGTCTCTTGTTGACTTGATGTGAAAAACAGAGGCTGTTCTAAAAGTAAATGAATTCAGAAGTAATTCTAACCTATATGTTACTTATTATAGTGAAATCGTTATCTAGTAAAATATATATTGTTATGACAATAAATTAGCTTTACATCAGATTTCTTTCAAATTATTTTATAATTTACTATTAGTTTTAATTACTCAAATTAAATATCAATAGAAAATTATATTACATGTACTATAAAGTATATTGTTAGTTTGTAATTATAAGTATATTATAAGTATGTAATTATACATTATAAAGTATATAATTAGTATGAGTATAATATATATTTTTTAACTTTTATTAACCTCACCAATGCCAAGGAATCAAATGCTAAGGTTTGACTACCAATGCCACTACCAGTCCCAATTGACTACCAATACAAATGCCCACCTCACCAATGTCAAGACTTGACTACAGTCAAGTCACTATAAGTCAATGTTTCCTCAATTCGAGATTTTTAATGTTTTATTAGGTTTACTGTAGTGAAAACCCTACAAATTAAAAAAAAAACAGTTTCCTTACATAAACTTACACTTTGCACCAGTGTCAAATTTAACATTTTTCATTTTTTGATCTATTAAAATAAAAATACTCATTTTTAATATTTAGTATTTAGCCACATTCTTCATGCATTCTCTTTGTATTATTTATTTTAAAGCATGTTTTGATTATTTTGTAGTGTCGAGGAAAAGGACATTATGCAAATCGGGTATGTTTTTTTGTCGTAATTTTGTTATATATTTTCTGAAGTTATATTCAACTTATTTTTTTTTATTACAACATTTTTATTTTTCCTTTAATAATGACTTCTTATTATATACAGGAAATATTTAATATAATAATATATGTATTGTTGTCGACAATGCAGTTTTTTAACTTTGGTTACACATCACCTTCCTATATATATTTCTATTTTTTTAATTTGTTTTGTAAAGTTTACATTTTTATAATTCTCATCAAACATAAAAAATCCAAAGAACATTATATGTAATAATAAAGTCTTACGCACTTTATTTTTCTATATTTAATATTATATAAGGTGTAATGGTAAAATATTATACTAGGTATAATGGTATAAACAAAATGTAATGTTATTCGAAGTGTTATCGTTTTGTTATTTATTCGTGATGTTATCTTTATCTTTACGAGATGATAACGATAACACCGCGTTTGGATATGGCGTATGTACTTTATGGATGACTGTAAGGGGTCATCCATAAAGTACATACATCAAAAAGTTTAGAAATATGACCCCCTCCCCCTAATGCTATGCGTACTTTTAAGTACCTATAAAAAGTATAAGCTCTTTTGAAATATCTTCCCACTCCCCCCTTCTTTTTTGAATATAATCACTTTGGAATTCGTTAGAAAGTTAAGATAAATGTAATGATTTGACCCAGAAAAAATCGGAGAAACGTTTCCGTGATAAATCTTGTTTACGAAGATTATTTTAAATCAAAATTCAGTTTTAATAACTGAATTTTGATTTAAAATAATTTAATAAATTCATATATTAAGCCACGTGGTTTTAATGTTTTTTATTAAACATTTCAAAATTTAAAAAAGATTTAAACACGTGAATTTTTCTTCAAATTAAAAACAAAATTTTAAAGGTTTTTTAAATTAAATTTTTACTTATATTTAAATTATAATTTATTTGAAAGTTTTTTTATTTATTTATATTGTTTTTATTCAACTTATCTAAATTTTAAAATGTTTAAAAAAGTTGTTATTAATGTATTTTTAACAGAGTTTTTTTTTAATTTTATTTATAAAATCCGATTTTGAACCAATAAGCAATAGTTTAATTATCTTTCTTTGATAGTTCGGTGACCGAACAATCAAAGATTTGCTCAAGAACAAAACCACTTTGACATCTACTAAAAATAGTGTTACACCTCAGATTCAAAAGCCCTTTATCAAAAATAAATTCTTTTTGCAAATAATAGAAAAAATCATGTTTTACAAACAAAATAGTTTAGACAAACTATTTTGAACTTAAATGAATAAATCACTAAAATTTAATCAAAAAGACTGTACACAATTAAACAATATTCAAAAATTAGAAATATATTTTCTCCACCCCCTGCAACGTCAGTTCCTATCAAGCGTATCTTTTGTCAGAGTGGATTGATAATGCGCCTTCATAGAGCTTGTATGTCTGATTCCTTGCTTGAAACTGATGTTTTTTTAAATGTAACAAAAACATAGGCAATATATTGATTGTTAATGCTTTTGAAATATAGTTAACGCTAACAACTATTATCTACATATTTTTATTTAAAAAATGTTAATATTAGTTGTTAGCGTTAAGCACAAAAATACATAAAAAAATTTAAAGTTTTATTTTTGTGTTTTTTTTGTTTTTGGCTTTGATATTACCTCCAAATATGTTTTCTTACTGACTTTGTCAAATTCTGCGCATAACCTTGATATAATTTTACAACGTGGTTTTATTGTCACAGTACTTGCTGCCTGCAGTTTTGTTAACAAATGCCTTTATCGTAAGGCCGAAATTTAAGTCTTTGGTTTTGAAAATGTTTGAGTAGGCCTTAGCCTTGAAACTTTTGTCCTTGACCTTAAAACTCTTGACTTGATTCTCTTAGCCTTGTTCTTAAAAACTTTTGGTCTTGGTCTTGGCGTTGGCCTTGCTTTTTTTGGCCTTGTTAACAACTTATATTTGCAAACTTGAGGCATCAATAAGACAATATGGTTTTAGGGTAAAGGAAGGTATGTTCGTGATATATGTAATTTCGTGATATTTCTTTCGGCATTTGTAGCGAACATACCTATTAGTCAAAAACATCGAAATTGCGTCAAATGGTACCCGGGGTACTACTGTCGATTCACAAATAGTCGTTGGGTGCGTGTGATACGTCAATTGTTTACTATCAGTTTGTACATTCTTTAGCATTATTTTACGTGCGTTCAGCACATTTGTTTGGAGTACTTGTCCAACATTTTTATTTCCAGACTTGTGTTTTAAGGTAAGTAAATTATTTTTATTAAATATTAAACTAGAAAACATGCTTGATTTAATGGTAAAACTTTTGTTTTTTTATTAACTTCCTATAACTTATGATTCCTTATCGCAGTTACACATTTTCTTAACGTTTTCACCTCAAATGAATTTACATTTTTAATCATGTTTCTTTTATTAAATATAATGACATTAAAAATTGTTTTAAGCACGATATAACTCCAAGTGAACGACCTGTGATATTATTCATGGATTCACATGCATCACACATTAAGATGAATGTTATATTACTTGCAAAAGAAAATGAAATATATTTATTTACATTTCCAGCTCATACTAGTCATTTATTACAACCACTAGATGTAGGAATATACAAGCCACTTAAGTCAAACTGGGCCACTAGCTTAAATGACTTTATGAGGGAAAATCCTGGAGAAAAACCAAATCGGACAACTTTTCATACAATATTGAATCCAGCATTTATTAAAAGCTTTTCTAAAAAAAATATAGAAAATGCATTTAAAAAAAGTAGCATTTGCCCTTTAAATAAAAATGCCATTCCTCCAGAAGCAATAGCTCCATCTCAATTGACAAACAGAGAGATTCAAAGTACAGAAATTCAACCACACAGCAATACTGCTATACAAACATTGTTAACTATTCCATCTGTAGAGCCAACCACACCTAACCCTAATAGGCCAAAAAGGGATTCAAGTGCAAAGTGTCTGACTCCTCCTGATCAACCTATTCCATCAACTTCAAAGGATTCTATTCCTGTATGTTCTAAAAAAAATAAAAATGCTTTAAAAGATGATGATTGGGAGTGCGGTGTTTGTAAAAAAAGTTACAACAGTGATGTAAAAAAAAAAAATGGAAAAAAATGGGTGCAGTGTTCCTATTGTTTAGTACCTTATCATGAGAGTTGTCAAACATATGAGGACATTGGTGAAGTATTTATGTGTGATACATGTTGTCAACAAGAATGTGATTTAGAAAAATAAGTTAATCAGATATAAGTATGGTTAATATTATAGTTATTATATTAAGAGTTTTTTGTAGGTCTGTTATTTTATTTTCTAAGCTACCTATGTTAAAAGTATATTTTTTTTATATATAAATATAAAGTAATGAAAGTATTATTATAATTTTGTTAACTTATAAGCCTGACTATATTTATATTTTATGAACTTAAAGTCTGATTGAATAGTTATGAATTCAAAACAAGTGTTGATATTTTTTGTTATATTATACCAGATGTTATACTTAATTAATAAAGAAAAATTTAAATATTATTGTGTACTCACGAAATTACCTAACCACTATCACGAAATTAAATATCATATCACAAAATTACCTAACTTTTCTCAATGACTTTTGAGCTTTTATAAAAACTTATCAAAGGACTTAAAATCCCAAAACTGCATAGATTCTAGTAACTTTACTCTATGTACATCAAACAATTAAAGTAATTAAGTAAAATTACTGAAATTGACTTTGTAATTACACATCTAGTTAATTTATCACGAACATACCTTCCTTTACCCTATTTATTTTTTAAGAGCTGTTATTTATTGTAAAACATTTATTAACAAGTATTTATTAATTGTGATATATTAGGAGAAAAAAACATCAAGGAATTTTTTATTAATTAGTGCGTACGTACTTTATTATATCACCCACTCACCCACAACTGCCACCACCCCATATGCTTTCGTACGCAATTTAAAGATTCCCCTCTCCCCCAATGAGCGTACGTACTTTATGTGTGGCCCCTAATGGTTTTTTTGTTGTTGTGATTTTAAGGATCATAAAATAAAATATTTTAAAGTTGTAATATCTTTAAGGATCAGATTTTTGTCTATAACTATTTAATATTACCTTATTTTGAATAAATTTAAATTCTTTAATTGATCATTTAAAACATTTAGTTGTCAAGTTTGATAAATTAATATTTCTATATATATATATATATATATATTATATATATATATATATATTTTTTTTTCTTTACAGTGTCCTTTTACAAGTATTCAAAGACCTACTGGTATGCCTAACTCATTCCGTTCACCGAATCCGATGTTACCTCTTCCATATGGTCAAAGACCTTTTCTAAACTCTGATCCACATCAAAACATGTTTCATCAACAATTGCTTCAACCATAAAAATGAAGAATCTTAAACTAAATTATTACAAAGAAAAAATATTTTGAATTAATGAGATGTTTACAACAACATTGGTACTGCTTTATAATGACTTTAAATTCCTTTTCAAGTCTTCAGTTTTTATTACGAAGTCGTTTCAGATTTAACTTTTGGAACCGAGTTTTAGTGATTTGCTACTTTTGCACTTCTGGTAAAGTATAAGTGTGTGAATAAAGAATAGTGTTTGTTAAGGGATTATAAGAAAAAGTGCTTTTGAACAACGATTAAATTTTCTTTCACGATCTAATGGAAAAACCTCTAAAAGAAAAAAAAAGTTCTTGTGGCACTTGATGAAATGTTTAAAAAATACAAAGCGAAATAAATACTATTTTTTATTATTTTTATTTTTTGCAGAATTCGCTTTAAAAATAACAGATTTTTAATGCTGCCTCCATTACTCCAGCCAAAATGACAGAAGTACCATTTGCTACCTGTTCTTTTCCGGCATGTCTGCCGTCAACAAATAAAACAAGATTCATAAAAAAACTTTGAACCTAAAAATCTCGCATTATGAATAGCTGAAGTCTTTTTAACTTGTGTTATTTATGTTAAAAGCAGAAAAATAGCTAATCATTAGCTCTGCGACCTCTTTTCTATCTTTCCTTTTAATACCATTTCTTGATAAGCAAAACCTGCAATAGTCAAGAGATTATATTTATCAACAGTTCTTTTACCTTCATCCCAAGAAAATTTGACTAGAAAAGATGACTTATACTCGAAATTAAGATGCTCGGATATACTTTTAAATTGTTTAAACAGATTGTTATCAGTGGCCGTAGTTTTTCATTCGTTACATTTTCACAGAAGTGTGTGGTTCTCAACTCAGAAACATGATATCTGCAAGCTAAGAAAATTAGTATAATAGATACTTATTTAGCGCAATAAATATTCTTATTAGAGGTCTTTTATGTATACCTGTATTACTTGATGTTGTTTTGAATCTTTGATTCAAGATAATAATCTTTTAGGAGTTTCATCACTGCATTAAAAAGTTGATGGCTGGATTTTTCTATATAATTTTTTGCTGTTTACTATCAGTTTTAGAAATTATTCTTAGAGAAAAAAACTAAACTATTTTGAAACTCTAAAAAAGTTTTTCTGAAAAACTATAATATGCACTTCCATATTAAAGTAAAACTAACGAAAGAAAAAAAATTTTCGTGGGATCACCAAAATTATAAAAAAATCTTTAAAAAAACTTTATATCAAATACTTAAAAAATAGAAATGAGGTGAACCTAAATGTTTACAAATAGTACAAAAACTTGTTTGAAAAAAACTCAAAAAAAAAACGATAATTCAAATAAAATAAAAAACTTAAATGATGATATTGAAAAGAACTTGGGATATTATGAAAGAAATCTTTGGTGTCAAAAACTGCAAGTTAAATAGTTTACCTGTCATATTAAAGAGTAATTTTCACTAAAATTTAACGACAAAAATTTTCAGTAAAATTTAGCCGTTTTTTTGTTCATTTGGGCCCAAATTTGGCATCAAAAATCCAGTCCAAAAAACTCATTTGAAACTTAGCTAATGTCTACAAAAAACTGATATTTAAAGAACTAAAAATTGATAAACTTGAAAATACAATAAACTCTCTTAAAACAAAAAAAATCAAGTCTTCAGGTATAGATGACATTTGCAGTAATACTGTTGCTAATGTCTTTTCGGAGATACGCAAACGTATTTTAAAATATTCAAATCATTAATTAAAACTGGAACTTTACAAGACAATTTAAAAGTAGTTAAAATTATACCTACTTTTAAAACCAGTAAAATAATTATTCATTTTACTGGTTTTAAAATTATTCGAAATAATTTATTAAATTTTTTAATTTAATAAATTGTTTAAATAACGGTTAAATTCGGTTTCCAATAACAATTCGGTTTCCAATCACTAGGTATAAAAGATAACAATACTAAACTACTAGAAATACTAAAAAACTAGAAAAAAAAACAAATTAAAAACTAGAAATAATAAATAACAATTCGGGTTCCAATCACTAGACTCAACCAAACATTCAAATTTAGATGTAGTGAATAACAGAAGTAAGTCATTTAATAAAAAGCAATTTGTATTAGAATCTATTCAAACCGACAAAATTTTTCATGATATTTTACCAACAAAAAAAAAGGAAAATTAAGGGATCAAAAATACTACCCTAGATTAGTTTAAAAGTTACCTGTACACTATAATAAATATTCAAATATTATGTGAAAGATTAATAAGTATTCAAATTTACAAGAAATAAAATGCAGAGTTTCACAAGGTTCTTGGTCCTTTTTTACTTTTAATCTATATTAACGATCTTCCATAATCCTTAAAAAAACTATAATTAATAAGAATTAATCAAAGACTTCTAGGAATCTGTGAACTATAACTTCGAGAACCTAAACTTAATGTTAAAAGAAAATAATCTTTCTTCAAATACAGAAAAAATTAAATTCGTCTTGCTACATTTCAACTAGCAGAAAAATAATATACTATCACTAAAAAATGATATCATAAACCTCAAAAAAAAAACTGAATTTCTTTTTCGTCAGTTATTGACGAAAAGATTTTATTGGAAAGCTTATATAAAAAACGATGGTTTAGATTTTTTGTTTTTTTGAGTTAGACTCACTTTAATAAAAATGACACTTTTAAATTGTTTAGAAAAAAATGTTGAGCGCGCTCATAACGACTTTTAACTGCTTTAGCTTAATTTCTTTTCACTTTTTACGACCATAAAAAAAAATTCTGTGCAAAAAAAATTTTTTTACAAAAAAGAATACACTACGTGATTTTTTTTTTTTTTATTTCATAGCTTTGTCAGTGAAAAAGTAACGCAGTAACTCTGAGTACATTTTTAATTTGCTACTTTTTACTTTTACTTGAGTAAACTTTTCGATCGGTAACTTTTACTTGTACTTGAGTAAAATTTCACTCAAGTAACAATACAATTACAAAAAAGAAAATTATAATTACAAAAAAAAAAAAATACAATTACAAAAAAGAAAACTTGAGTACAGTTTTTTTTTACTTTTTCCACCTCTGATAAAATCATTATATAATGTTTAACATCAACCTTAGTAGTTAATTAGTTCTTTGGAATGAAACTTCATTTAGGTTATAAAATACCATTGCAAAGCCGCCAAACACTAGCATATCTACTTCATCTACTGTCACTGCCCCCACTCAACCAGCTCCACCGTCTCTTATCATCGAATTCGCAACCAATGAAACTCGCAACGGTCTTCTAGCAATCGCAAAAAACCTTGCCACCAATGAATCATACAAAAGTGTCTTCATACGGCCAAACAGAACTCCTTCAGAGCAAGATCTTTTTAACAAGTTGAACAACGAAAAGTTTAAGCTCAACAATGGCTTTAAAGCAAACCGTAAACTTGATCAGCCCTTTCGTTTTGTCATCCGCAGTCAAATGCATCGACGTTAGCAAAAAAGTCAACATCACTGGCTTGGAAAAACACCCGTTCGTCAACTGGAAAGGAGCGCTCGCGGCGGCCCAAACCAACCAATGAGAAGTCGCAACATTCAACTCATGACCGTTTCCATATAGTTAATAATTTGTCTTCTCCCACTTCACAAAGCAATGCTTCTAAATTGTTACTAAACTGCTTCTATGCAAACGCCACATCTCTAAATCCTAATAAACTCACCGAACTTGAATTAGCAACGTCCCTCTATGATTATGACACCATTTTTATCACTGAAACATGGTTTAACGAATCCTCAGCACCAGCTATTCCCAACTACAATCTCTTTAGAAAAGATTGCTCTAGTCGTGGAGGAGGAGTAGCCATATATGTCAAGAACAGCATTATTGCCAACGAAATTGACTACTCTCAACTTCACATCGGTTTCCAATGCAATTTCTCAGAACAGATCTGGCTCGAACTTAAACTCCCACAAGAATCTCTCCTAATCGGCTGCATCTATTGACCACCTACCAATAATGTTCTGGCCTTTAACGAAATAGTAAAAGCTATCTGCTACGCGAAATCAGCCGTAGAAAACAAAAAGTTTAATGGTTTAATAATCACCGGTGATTTCAACTTTCCCGACGTCATATGGCACGACGACTGGACCAATACCACCGGCGCTGAAACTAGTTTTGGCACTAAATTTGCCAAAACTATTTTTGACCTACATCTATACCAGCACGTTATCAATCCCACTTTCATCCAAGCCAACGGTCTGTTCAAAAATACACTAGACCTTGTAGTTACCGAAACAACCGAACGATTAAGCCATATTACTATCGGTCCTCCTCTTGGTAGCGCCTCGCAAGGTCACTGCACTATGACATGGCAACACCAGCTAGCCAAAAATGTCTGCAACTCTTCCCGTTTTAACGTCTCAAAATTTATATACAGGAAAGGTATTATCGCGAATCTAAACGAGAAACTCTCCCAAGTCGATTGGGTTAGTTTATTTAAAGACCGATATGCCGACAAATGTTATCAAATCTTCTGTGACAACTATATTAAATTATGTGACAAATTTATTCCGCGTGTCACCTCCAAACCGGCCAAATACAGGCAGCCTTGGCTAACCAGCGAACTTTTTTACTAATTAAACGTAAGAAAAAACTTTGGTATCTCAACCGCAACAGCAAATGGCGAATCATTCCTCTTGTCAAAGAGTATAACCAAACTCGAAACCTTGTCAAAAAAGCTTCCTGCACTGCAATTAGAGCATTTGAACACAAATTAGCAGCGACAAATGGAACCCTAAGCGTCTATACGTTTATGTAAACAACAAACGCGCCGTCAGTAACCAGATAACCTCTATGTGCTCACCCGCTGGGGAAATAAGTAGCAACCACGCATTCATAGCCAATATACTTAACAGCCAGTTCCAGTCAGTATTCACAATCGAACCATCAGATCAACAACTACCTCCCTTTTTTAAACGTACAACCGCTTTAATCTTCTCCGTCATCTTCACCTATGATTCCGTTCACAAACACCTATCTGCTCTCAACGCCAATAAATCAGCTGGAGGTGACGGTATCAGTCCATTTGTGCTTAAAGCATGCGCTGATGCGGCAGCTACCCCGCTTGCCATTATTTTTCAGAAATCGATGGATTAAGGTGTAGTCCCAAAAGCGTGGCTCTCGGCAAACGTGACGCCACTGTTCAAAAAAGGCTCTAGACTCGACCCAGAAAACTATAGGCCTATCTCCATCACCTCAGTACCATGCAAAATAATGGAAAAAATTGTTAAAGAAAAGATCATGCAGCACCTTGTAGCTCATAGAATTATTACCGATTGCCAGTACGACTTCGTCAATAAAAAAGCCTGCGTCACGAATTTGCTTGAGGCCATGGACTTTCTAATCTACAAAGTTTCTCGCAAGCTTCCAGTAGATGTTCTTTTTCTTGACTTCTCCAAAGCCTTCGATAAAGTCCCTCACAGAAGATTACATCAAAAACTTGAATCCTACGGAATCGAAGGTAACGTTCTTAACTGGATAAAAGCTTTCCTTTCAAATAGATCACAGCGTGTCATATTAGGTAATACGTCATCCACCTGGGTAAAGGAACTCAACATCAAGAAATGCAAAGTCATGCATTACAGTAAGTACAATGTTTCTCCACACATTTATTTAATGAACGAGTACGACGCTAACGGTAGCGTCACTAGAACAGTAATCGAGTCTTCAACATCCGAAAAAGATCTAGGCGTTCAAATTTCCAACGACTTAAAATATGAGAGGCAAGCACAATTAGCCGCTTCCAAGGCTAATAAAGTCCTCGGGACATTGAAAAACACGTTTATAAGCAGAGATACCAAAATATGAAAAAAACTTTACACCACTTATATACGCCCACATCTCGAGTTTGCAGTTACTGCCTGGTGCCCGCATCTTGAAATAAATGTCATAGAACGTGTTCAGCATCGGGTTACCAAAGTACCGCACAAAATAAAGCGCTTCGATTACGAAACAAGATGCATCAAACTCGGTCTCACCTCTCTATTAAATAGACGTTTACGCGGCGACCTCATTCAAAAATATAAATTCGGAAACAGTATCTACTCAATTAGCTGGCATATAGATCCACCCAACATCCCACCTAGCTACGGTCATCGCAAACGCTTTCATCGTGAAATGGACAACAACTGCCTCGTTTGATATAATTCCTTCAACAACCGCGTCGCTCACCCATGGAACGCATTACCTAACGTAGTAGTCAGTGCTACCAGTATCGATCGCTTCAAAGCAAAATTCGATCAGCTTTAATAATTACTACAGCGCATCATCTTCCGTGCAATTACGCACGAGCTAGCACGGCTAGCTGTTGATGGGCTTACGGAACACGCCCGCTCCGTGTAATTTAACTTTTAACTTAAAAAAAAATTATATTAATTTTCAGCAAAAGGATTGGTAAATATGAAATTGAATTAAACAATTCTAATTTATAAACATTTTATGTAACAGACGTACTATCTATTTAGTTTTTAGTTTTTACTTTGGTTTACCAAAAACCTAAATTTTTGTCAAGATTTCTTTCAGCTACGATTTTTAAATGAGGTAGCAAGATCATATTATGAATACTGCCTCGTTATTTTTTTAAACAAAATTAGAATGCCATTAGGAGTATTTGCTGGTCAATGTTTAGAATCTGTTCATCACAACATGTTGAAAACATGATTAAATTCTCAACTTTTGAATCTAAATTAAATCAGGGAGAACTTTTAAAAAGAGCAGTATTAGAATACTTTAGGATTAGAGTTTAAATGACATCAATAATTAAAATATCTCAAAATAAAGGAAAGACTGAACAATAAATTTTTATGAATTTTTTATTTGTTATATATACTGGTCATATTATATTATAGCTTGTTTTATCTATTATGTATAAACATATTTGTCAATTTAATACAGTGAATTTGTTTGTGTGTTTAATAATCAAAATATTTATAAATCGTAAATATTCAAAACTGGTTATGAAAATTCTATTTTCGAAAAAAAATTCAGTTTTATGCCTAATTCCACAAATGTATGTTTATATGCATACAATACATTATAATCTAAAGTATAAATCTGGCAATCGATAAGTTTTCTTTTTGTCTCTTTAATCTTCAAGGTCTCTTTAAAGGCTATTTTAACTTAACTGTAACAAAAAATAAATAGTAAGTATGTTTAAAAAATATTTTTTTTTAAAAAGTAATTTTTTAGTTAATTATGAAAATATTAACAGTGCCATGTCCGACATAAAAGATGTACCTTTAAACATGTTCCACGTGAAAGATGTAGCTTGACAAAAAGCAGTAAAATTATGAATCTTTTACAAATATTTTTACGTTATGGTATCTATTACAGCAAAGTAGAAAATTTGCATCATAAAAAATATTTTTTGATTGTTTTAAGACGCTTAAATTTCACTACCATTAAAACGAATAAATAAATGAATGATCAGAAACTGTTTACCACCATAAAATCAAGATACATAAGCTTCATCAAAATTATTTTATTTATTTTGTAACATTTGATAAAAAGACGGACAGCATCTTATCAGTAACTGTAGTCAATCAAATCAAAATTGTATAACAAGTTCATTAAAACCTATAAAGCATAACCAACATAACTAATGATTATGCTTTATAGGTTGTTCTTAATGGCAGCGGAAACGTAGGTATGAACAAGATTTGATACATGCTAAAACTCATGAAAGATCACGATCTTTTTGTCTAAAATAAGTTACTTTTTGATATCTTGACGGAAATTTTTTGCAAACAACTGTATATAGATTGTCAAGTTTAATGTCTCGTAGTTTCGTCTATATCCCGAAAATATATTTTTATTTTGCTTATTGTAATCACAATTACAGTTCGTCACAAAACATTTTTTCGTCACAAAACATTTTTAAAAGGAATTTTTTTTCTGTCTTAAAAAAACTAACTAGAAATTATACTTTATATTAAAACTTTACTAAGACGTCACTAAAAATGGTTAATGCAAAAAAAATGTAGAACACTGAAAGCTCTAAACCCAAATGGCTCATTTGGTTAGGTCATTATAAAATTGAATTACTAATGACATTTTCTTATTATAGAAAGGTTTTAGATCAAACATATGATTGAAATTTTTGTCATTCAAACTTTATAATCGGCACATTTCTAAAATATAAATCTCATGTATACATTTCTATATTGTCCTAATTTTACGCCTCTTAATCCAAATTTAACTAAAATTATTGTCGATTCACGTATAGAAGTAGTATAATCAGTAAATAATCTCTTTCTATAAGAATAAAGTTTTTAGCAGAAAATAATTGTAAATTTGGTATACAAAAATTACTTTTGATAAATGTATTGGGAGTTGGCTTTAGAATTTTTTTTTATGTTTGTTGGTTTTGCTTTAAGTAAATTGTGCATGGAAACAAAAGTAGAAAGTGGTATAAAAGGCCAGTTTTTAATACCAGGCTTATTTCCATTAAGATGCTCCTCGTTGGATGATATTGACATGAGAACTGTTGCATGGATAGAAGCCTTAAAATATACAGTTGAAGAAGAAAACAAGAGACAAAACAAAAGTTTGTTTGATTATGTAATTTATGACACTTACGATTCCACAAACTTTGATAAAACGTCGTTTGCTATACTAGACACTTTAATGTTTTCCCCCAACAATAAAATTGCAACTTGTGCATGCGATGACTTTGTTCAACAAAACAATATATTAGGGTTTTTAGGTCCATCCGAATCAGCTAACTGTATATACGCTCTCGCACTAGCAATGCCTTATACAAATTTTCCGATTATTAGTTATTCTGCAACAAGCGTGGATTTAGATAATAGAATTTTATATCCAAACTTTTTTCGTACGGTTCCCCCTGACAACTACCAAGCATTATTTATTATAGATATTTTAAAAAAATTTCATTGGACATATGTGGCCGTAATAGCAATAGATAGCTCATACGGCAGGGCAGGAATTGAACAACTTGTAAAAGTTGTTGAGAATGATGTATCTGGTGATAGAATTTGCTTTGCTTTTACAGCAATACTGCCTCAAGTTTATAATCCAAGTAAATATTCAACTGTGGTAAAAAATTTGATAAAAGAAATTGCAGCAAATGTCATAGTGGTTATTGGAACATTTAATCTTGTACAAAACATATTAAAAGAAACGCATAGTCAAAATTTAACTAGGCGAACGTGGCTATTAAGTGAGGCTACTGGTAAAAACACTTGGTTTTTTGATTACAACAATCATGTTGGGAATAATTTTCTTTTTATAGTCCAGACTGAAGGGGCTGATGATTTATTTCAAAAATATTTTTTTGGTTTAACCTATCAAAATTCAAGTCCATGGTTAAAGGCAGTATTCGAAAAATATGGGGTTAACGAAAGTACGAATAACTTTTCTACAAATAACATATCACAAGTATTTGACCTCAGTATGGTTTCATTTGTTCAAGATGCTGTAAAGGTTTTAATTGAAGCTTTTTATCTCTATCAAAAAACATTTTCCACTAACATCACGCAAAAAATTTATAATAGAACAAAGTTCAATGAGCAAATCAAAAAAGTAAATTTTCATGTTTTGAATAATTCTAAAACCTTCAGCTTTAATTCAAATCAAAATCCTGAGTCAGCTTATTTTGAACTCTATACTTTAAGCAATTCTACGTTTGTGAATATTGCATTATGGTCAAATAATCTTAGTTTAATGTTTTTAAAAAATAACACGGAATTAAATACTATAAAATCAACATGCTCAACACCTTGTCTTGCGGGAGAAAGAAAACTAGTAAGTTCAGTCAGTTCACTAAAACTATGTTGTTGGACTTGTCTTTTGTGTCCGGATAATTCAGTAACTAAATCCTCAAATGATCAAAATTGTACGGTATGCGATGAAAGTATTGATGAATACCCAAATGAAAAAAAAGATGACTGTATTAAACGCAAACGCTTATATTGGAATTTAAGTAACAGTCCACATTTACCGCATCAAGTTTTAACTTTAATATTTTGCAGTATTGGCGCTATATTAAGTGCAATTTTTATTTTCACATTTGTTATAAAAAAAAAGACTCCGATCATTCGATCTTCAAATTATGAGTTGTCGTTAATTCAGTTATTTTTTCATTTTATTATGTTTATTCTCCCACTCTTAACATTTCCAGAGGAGACAAGCATAAAATGTGCCGTTAGAATATATTTAGGAAGTTTATTGCACGTGGTTGTAATTACAATTATATTAGTAAAAGTTACTCGTATTGTTACTGTTTTTAATCTAGTTAATCATCGTAAACTGTCAACAAAAAAAACATTTTATATTCGATCTAAAATTATTTTAATGCTCGTATTCTTTCCTTGTTTATTTATTGTATTGATTTTCGTTGTACACAAAAGCAAATATGAAGTATTTCTTGAAGATGATAAAAGAGTGCCTCTACAAAAATATTGCAATGCGCACAGTTTCTGGTTATTTCACTTATGTTACGTGCTCCTTTTATCTACCTTGTGTGGCTATCAAACATTTAAAAGTAAAAGTCTACCATGGAAGTTCAACGAAACAAGCAAGATAGCCTATTCTTTGTTTTTCTCTAACATAACTTTGTGCGCATTGGTTGGACTTAACTACAGTAGTCTTGATACAAACACAAGAAAATTTACAAGCTGCATCCTTATGAGTGTTTCAATGTTTTTTTTGATGATAATCCTGTTTTTTAGTAAAATTAAAGTTGTATGGTTAAACCCAGAAAAGAATTCCTTATCTGAATTCCGAAAAAGTTCTTTTAAAACTGTGTACTCAAACGAATCTCTTCGTTCTGCATCATTAAATCAAAACGATTTTATTCCCTCTATATCGTTCAATCAAGATGAACATCTTTCCTCTGCAGTATTAAATCAAGACGAATCTTTTCGTTCTAGAGTAAACCAAGAGGAATCTCCTCATTTTATAGCACTAAATCAATTTACTATTGAAAATATGTTAAATATTGAAGCTTGTTAAATATAGTTAAGAAAAGTGAAGTAAATATTGAATAATGGAATCAAACAAAATCTCCATCGCAGAAATAGAAAGCCCAAATTTTTTACGAATGTTATACGGACGTCTGCGCCATTTGGAAAAAAAAAAACAGGGTTTATGAATATTTGATAAACTCATATTAGTTAGTTTAATTCATTTCTTTTTCCATTTTTGCTTGTTGTTACACTTTTTGTTTATTAAAAATATAAAAGAAAAAAAAAAGACACGCAATATTATTCTAATATATAAACGCTGAGTTAAAGCGATAATAAATGCTAAGTTTTTTTTTTCAAAAGACAAAATTAATTTATTATTACGAAGATTATTTTGTTAGTTAGATAATTTTTGGAATTTTGTTGTAAAATTATTGCATTCATTTTAGTATAATTTGTGTAAAATCCAAAGGCAGTTGTTAAATTCCAAAATTACTTATTAAATATATTTGATGTTTGAATCCTACTTTAGCAACATAACTGTGTCCAATATTTTTAATACATAGTATTAATTTTAAGTAATCTTGCAATATTTGAACAATTTACAAATAACTTTTTTATCGGTCAATTACAAGGAGCGATAAAAAATAGTTACGAAAGAAGATATTCAGAGAAATGATTGTACAATTTGAGTGTAATTATCAAAACTATTTAGTGTAATCACGAGAGCATTTGGGTGTAATAACGAGACCATTTAAGAATAATAAAAATGTCTCAATACCAAACTTCCTTCAGTTTAAATCATCAGTTAAAGTGAGGTCATTTTGGACTAATGTCCGTTCCCAATTTCGCTAACATTTTGTTATTGATTTTAAAGTCTTTACAACATTTGTTGCGGCTAGCAAGGTAGACTTTTACTCGCACTACACTGCTAAGCAATTCGTCTGATATTCTGTTTCTTGGTTTGTTTTTAACATAGGTGATCTGAGAAAAAAACAAGCTCCACAAAAGCGTTTGATATAGGAAGAACAAGACAGGTTAGGCAATAGTCTGCTAGCTCATTAAATGCTGCATCTCCTGATGTTCTTTTGTAGTGGCGAACGGCAGTTTAGAACTCAGTTGTATCTTATATATATACAAGATATATACAAGATATATATATATACTCAGTTGTATCTTATATCTATACAAGAATTTTCAAACAGACCCAAAGATGACCAGTCAAACAAACTTACTTTTCTGTACTGATCTTCAATGCTTTGTGCTTTATTCTTCATAATATATCTTCAAGGCAGATGAGTGAATGGATTTTTAGAACTTTGATCCAGAACCTTTGATGATAAAAGAAAAGATCGACCTTGAAAAATTTCTTTATTTTCAGGTAGAAGTTGATCAAGCTCTTTCAAAAGACGCAAAAGAAATTACCAAGTTTAAATTTGCAAGTTGAATATTTGAAACTTGAATACTTTTAAAATGGTGTTGGAGTTCCCATCCTTTCATTGCTTGGATCCATTGTCTGAAAAAGTATTTTAAGCTCTTCTCGTCGAATCTATTTGAAAAAAATGAAGGAATTTGACTGAGCAGAATACCAACACTTGATGGAATGTTGAACAATAAGATTCAAAGAGTGACATGTACAGCGCATTAAAATACAAATAGGAGAGACTGCGCGAACACAAGACCGAACCGAATTGTGAAATCCTATGACATTTGAAGCTCCGTCTGAGCTATATCCAATGCAGTTTTTTAAAGACAATCCAAAAGACTTTAACTCTGTTTCGAAAACAGCAAAAAAATCTGCACCAGCGGTTGATATCACCGCAGCTAAACCAAATAAGTCATCAATAACTGATTTCTGTTGATTTGAATAGTAATGAGCACAAAAGCAAAGATATTTTGTCGAAGAAATATCAGTTGATTCATCAATCAGGATGGAAAAAGGTTTATCTGCCATTGATTCAGAAATTTCTGAATAAATTGATGATGAAATTACCCAGCGGGCATTTTGACGTCCTAAGGACATCAATAAGACGTTTAAAGTCTCGTCCGTGAGACGTCCTTAGTTGGTCTCAAATGAAAGATTTGAGGACGTCTATTCCAGACATCTTAAAGACGTTTTTTTAAGACGTTCTGAAGACATTTTGTGCAGACGTTCTAGAGACGTTTCTGGCTGGTCTCATACGAAAGACTTAAGGACGTCTTATTCAGACGTCCTAGAGACGTCTGAATTTTACCAAGACATTCTTTTAAAAGTTATATAAAAATGCAAATGATTTACAACACACACCTTAGATTTGCCTTAATTTAGGCAAGGAAAGTTATAAAAAAAAATCAAAGTAAATAAAGTGTAATTTGATATATTGAAAATAAATTAATAACTTTACAAAAAACAAGAATAATTTTCGGAATAAAAAACTAATAACCCTTCCAAATAAAAAACTAATTGGTACTGTAGAATATAATCAATAGTGCATATATAGAAGAAAATTGCTAAAAAAAGGAAATAGAAAAAAATTGCTAAAAAAAGGAAATAAAAGAAAATTGCTAAAAAAGAAAAATAAATAAAAAATACAACAGCTAATTAAGCCATTCTTGATCGATATCCATATTAGTGGATGTTGTTTTTAATCGGTCAGAAGAATGCCTAATTACTCTCCCAAAAAGTTGGATTGCATCCATGTTGGTTAATTTTTATTTGACTTTAAAGCAGCTTCTAATAAAAACAACAACACATATTTCAATAAGATCA